AAAAAAAAAAAAAAAAAATGACATAAAAACACTAGAAGAATATGAGTGAATATTTTTAGAACCTTGGAGCCTTTCTAAGGATATCATAAAATCTGAATGCCACAAAGGGAAAACTGTAGATTTACTGCATTGTAAAAATTTTTTACAGGAAAAATAGAAGGTACACATCAAGTCAATGTATCAAAGAAAAACTGGAGGCAATGTTTCAATTTACCTATCAGAAAAAGGCAAATGTCCCTAACATATGATGTGCTCTTTAAAAATCAATGTGAAAATTATGAATACAAAAATGAGCAAAGGAAATGAACAGGCAACACAGAAAAAAGATTCAAAAGTTCCCCCAAAATGTATGAGATGTTCCTCCATGCTCATAATTGAAAAAAATATATAAACTAAAATAATGTAGGTATACCAATTATTTTACCTATCTGGTTGACAAATATTTAAGTGCTTCTTAAATCCCCTGGTTAGCAGAAGTGTAAAGAAATGGGCATTCCATATTCTAACGGTTAGATTGAAAACTGATTAAAAATTGGCATGTTGGCAACATATATTAAAATTTTACTTGTGAATTGGAAGTAATTCTCCTAGGCATTTATTCTGCAAATATTCTCCCCAAAGTGTACAAAGACTCCTTACTTTAGCATTATTTGTCATAACAGAGATCTGGAAAGAGCCGTAGAGTGTAATGCTCCACTGATCCCTATGGACTTACAATACAAGTTGTTTCAGACATATTCTTAAGAAGACAAGTTCTAGGACAGTAAACATAGTCTATTCCCATTTGAGGTTAAGAAAGTATCTATAGCCCGGCTGGGCGTGGCTCAGCGGCTGAGCATCAACCTAGGATCCAGGAGATCACAGTTCAGTTCTCATCAGGGCACATGCCCAGGTTGCAGGTTCAATCCCCAGTAAGGAGCATGCAGGAGGCAGCCGATCAATGACTCTCTCTCATCACTGATGTGTCTATCTCTCTCTCCCTTTCCATTTCTCTCTCTAAATCAATAAAGATATATTTTTAAAATTTTTTTAAATGATCTATAATATTTAGACATGTGTAGTGTGTGTGTGTGTGTGTGTGTGTGTGTTTTGTTTAAATCAGAATCTGGGCTGAGGTTTCAATATTAATAATAGTAAGTGATATGTTCCCCCGTATTCTAAATAGAAGTACTGTATTGTCCATTCGGGACTTATTAAAAGATAAACAACACCCTAAATTGTGATCCTCTGCTCATCACCCATCTTCGGTCTCTATCAAAGAGGATGTTAGGAGATCAGAGTGAGGAATACAGAGAGCTTGGACACGTGTCACTGGCCTAATAGCTTTATAGTTCTGTGGGCTCTCTTCCTCGTGAAGGAGGCTGAATGGAGTGCCGCGAGAGGAGAAAAGAAAGGATGGCGGGGCCTGCCAGAGGAAGAAAAAGCATATCGCCCCCATCTTGTTGCTTGCCAATTTGCAAAATTTCAGATTGCTCCCTCCATGCTGTTCCTACAACAGAATGTGGTGAGGCAGCTCTTGAGTGAATTTAATCTATGTTCCCTAGAACTTGGGGGCACAGAATGAGGTACCTGCCTCTTGCCTAGAAAAGGCTAAAGGCCAGAGGTTGCCAAGTTTTCCCATGAGCTAAGCGATCACCCTGGAAAGTGGCCAGGCCAGTCTCATTTTGCAAAGGTCTTACCCCAGAGTCTTGCCTGCTGGGGCAAAATAACCCCAGCAGAAGTCTTCTGAGAAGAGGAGAGGAATCATAAGACTGCACTTGAGGGAGAGTCGTGAGAGGCTGGGCTGAGGAAGCATCCCCACCACAGAGAACAATTCCGAGGCCAGAGCGCAGAGTCTTTTACTGACAGAGGGAGCCTCTGAAAAACCCACAGAACCATCCCATGTAAGACAAAGCCAGCATTAGGTACCCACCACCCAGAGGGCATAGATATTGGATAACATAACACCCACTGAGCAAGGCCTTGTCCTGTGAAACATCCACCCTCTCCTCAGCCCAGTCCTGGAGGATCCAGGGGAAGCAGGGTTCAGTGCAGGATCCAGAGGAGTAGAAAAGCAAGGAAGAGTGAAAAGCCACCTCCCACGCTTCTCTTTCTCCCTGCAGGTTTCTGAACCAGCTTAGGAGTTTGGCAGAAGGGGGGAAATTTTAAACTAAATGTAAGAAAGAACTCTTGATTTTGATCAGATTGCCCTTTTAAATGCATTTGAAAATAAAAGACTATTTTAACATCTAGATGTGTTTGAAAAAGTTGCAGGATCTGCCCAAGATACTGTCCAAGTGCTGTGCAGGGAGATCTATAGAGTGAGTTTGAAGGGCTTGTGTTAGAGAGAGAATAAAGCAAATGACTTTTCTGATTTCACCCCCCATTAGTCTAGCCTGTTAGGTATACCAGTGCCACATGCATTGAACATCCCCGAAGAGATAAACAAGAAGCTGTGCTTACTCAAGGTGAGGGAATAGAGCATCACACAGGTGGAGAACCTAGTTTCATTCATCCATAATTTTTGTACCTTTTACAATAAACATAAATCACTCTTAAGATTTAAGATGTTTGAAATATGAAGCTGATATACACTTTATAGCCAGGGGAATTTATAAAATCTCTTTGGCCGGGGCATTCAGAGTATCTTTCTCAGAATCCTCTCCTTCACCTTTAACACAATTAACTACTGGCTACTTGGCCAGTTCCGCTAGGGTTGGGTGGAGCTCCCTGGCCACCTAGTTGGCCCCACAGTGCACCAGAACCTCCTGGCAGCTATCCATCGAAGTGTGATAGAGAACAAATAGCCCTGAGAGTGAGGCTCCCAGCAGCCGGTGCTGTGGCCAGTCAGTCTCATGAAACTAGGTACATCCCAGGTGCGCTCCTTAAGCCTTTAAAGATGCTGTCAGGGCTCCTGACATATATAAAGTATCTCAAGGCTGTGAATGAGCTCGGGTCTAGGGAGTTCCACATTTTTAGCTGAGATGCTCTTTCATCCACCCATTGGCCCTTCCTCACACCTAGTATTATGGCTGATTTCTATGTGGAAAATAAGTTACCGAAATGCTGAGAAAAGGAAAGAGAAATTTCCCTCAATGACCCCTTTTCCTAAGAATTATTTTGTTTATATCACAGCAGTCCTTCCATGTCAAGTCAGTGATATACTTCGTCTATATCCCCATAAACACTCATGACTGTGGCAAGGTGGTTTCTTGCCTTCAGATTAAATGTTCCAGAGCGGGCTGCTCACCTGTTGGCTCCAACGAAGGGATAGAAGGAATCCAGTAAAGACCTGCTTTAAGGCCTAAGCCACAGCCAAGGACCTCATACCTTTGAGTGACAGCAGCAAAAAAAGACAGCCCATCTCCGTTTGCAAATCTTTGTTCTTTCCACAGAGGGAAAGTTTATGTATCTCACTATATTTTCTCTTCTAAAAACTGATTAGACAGCTCTACCCTCTAGGCTCAGGGAGAAACAACCAAGGACCCCTTTCCATTTGCACTGGGGAGTGCTGAGGGGGCTGTGAAGAAAGGGCCCAAGTGGCAGAGACTGAGTTACCATCTTGCCCAGCCCTCGTCCTGCTGAGGCCTCTTTACATATCAGCACCACTCTGGGGCACCTGCTGTGCTGGCTCTTCTCAGCAACTGTCATTCAGTCCTGGGCTCCAGGGCAAGAACCTCCAACATCCAAGACAAAGTAAGAACCAAGGACTAGGAGTCAGACGTGGGGAACCCATGAGTCTGGATTTCTGGCGGTAGAATCCGGATCCATCCCCCTGAGCCAGGACACAGGTACCTGAAGTCAAGGCCAGGCAGTAAAAAGGAAGAGTGATGAGGGAGAGTAGAGGAAAGAGTATGTTTAGAACTCGACTGTTTAAAAATAAAAAACAGATGCAAAGAAGAAATTTGAAGCAGAGGCAATTTCTATTTAGAATGGGAAGCCTGCTTCCTCTCAGGGTGGTCTCCCTCTACCTGAGGAATGTGATCGGCGGGCTCCTGCCAGGAAGCCCCCACAGGTAGCTGTGCTAGGGAAATGGCTCATGGGATAATTAACCTGGATTTGGGGGGTTGTGGATGAAGATGAAGGTAGGTCCTAACATAGCTCTCTCTGGCTAGTTAAGTACCACCACAAGACTGCTGGGAGAGGAAATTGCACAAGGCTGAAATATAACAACTAATTAACAATGCAAAAGAACATGCCCTGAAAGGTAAGGACAGGAAGCACTCCATAATCCTATAAATTATTCCTGTTTATTGAGTGCTAAAAGCACAAGTTCCAGACATATATAAATAATATATTTGTATAAATAATTGAAAACACAAGGAAAATTACATAAGCAGGAACCAAATCTAAATTTAGCGAGGCCTCTGGCTTTATGAACTCCTATAAACTATGTTTCTCAATAAGCCCCATCACCTCATCCAGAAGAAAATCAAGATGAGAAACATTTTACTGTACCTATGGAACTGGCCATAGCATTTCCTTTCGCTGGTTCTCAGTTTCCATATCTAAAAAAAAAAAGTGTGAATAAATGAGTTCTTAAATGAACTCTCAAACCCCTTCCAGCTCTGACATCATATTATCTCCTTAAAAATTATTAGAATAATAATTATTATTCCTGTTTATACCTCTATTGATCAGGATAATAACTTGCTTCAGGCTTGATTTTCTGTCATTATTGCAAAATCCCCTATGTAAATCCTAATATCTCTGGGCATCCCAAACATCTCTGAATTTCAGTTTTATAACTTGTGGCTTGACCTATCCTTGAGCAGCACTTTCTCTAGTAACACTGGTCATCTTGGTCTGGTGCTAAGCTAACACATTACTATCTTTGGCTAAAAGAGTATACTGTAACTACCACCTTCATTCATGAATTACCTAATTGTCCCTCTCTCCCCAGGACATTAGCTTGTTGTCTGTTTCTTCCAGAGGAAGACTTCACACAGTGCCAAAAGCTCGGGTGTAAATTAAATAAATGGGCTTCATTTTCTAAGTTGTGTGAAATGCAGAAGGAGCGTGTGGTCTTCTTTCCTCTAGCAATGGTCACACTTGATTCTGGGGACAAGTTATCAAGTAGCCACCAGTAGCCCTGGTTAATGGGAGAAGGGAGAGGTTAGGTGCACTCTGAGTTTGGCACAGCCTTTTTCCTCTATGACTCTGTTTAGACTTACATAGAGCAGTTAAATCACAGCAACTATCATTTATTGAATAGCAACCAGGTGGCAGGCACATACATATCTCTGATCTCGTGGCAGTTTGCAAAGCACGTTATTATCTATACCAGCCGTTTTCAGCCGGTGTGCTGTGGCGCGCTGCTGGGCCGCAAGACTTCTTAAAACATGCGATACCTGTCTATTTAGTCAGGGCCACTGATCTCTTTTCCCTTAATTGTCAAATAAAAAAATGACAGCAGTCAACACAAGAATAGCCATCTGGTGCAAATGAATCAAAATTATACCAATTTTTTTGTCAGATCGGCCAAAAATATATTTTTTGGTGTGCTGCACAATTTCAGCAATTAGTTTATGTGTGTCGTGAGATGAAAATGGTTGAAAATTGCTGATCTATACTATAGATACTAGTACTGTAGGTCTTAGTACCTATAGGTATTTATAGATACTATACTACAATAGATACTATACATTAGGTATTAGTATCTACACTATTAACATTTGAGTCTCAAAGGTTAAGTAACTTGTCTATGGTCGCATGAGAGACAGAAATAAGATTTAAACCTGGATCTCATCTAACTCCAGTATTCTCTGCACAACTTCTGAGACCCTTTGCAAGAAACACTCTGCAGTGGTTAAGCCTATGGACCCTAGAGACAGAATACTTGGATCCAGAATTCACTAGCTCTAAGGTTTTACACAAGTTTTTGAGCTTCTTTAAGCCTTCGTTTTCTCATCGGTCTATAGCAATAGTACTTAGTGCACAGGGTTAAATTATGCTTTGGTGCAGGAGTACCAAAATGCAAGTGCAAGTGCTTATCGCATTCCTTGGCCAGTAATAAGCACTCAGTGCATGGTGGTGGTTGTGGTTTTCATTGTTGCTTATATATTATGCTCCTTCCCGAAGCAGAATTAATTCAAATTCTGCAATGGAGCAGGGGCCCTTGCCACAGTAGCCACCAACAGTAGGTGCCCAATAAATTTTTGTTAATGATTTCTGTGGTTTGCCTAATAAGGTATGCTCTGTCTGGGCAAGGCATATGTGTGCTTTATTTTTATTTACATCCTCTAGAGTCTCTTTTTTTCCCCTTATATATGTGCACACATACATGCACCCATATGAATGTATATTCAATAGCATATATACAGGATGGCAATTTATCATTATTCATTTATATTAATGATGCCACAATGCCAGAGAAGTATTTTATTTCAGAGTTTATCATATGGTAGAAATAACATTTCTGCATCTGAAATTGATATTAAATACTTAGTATCAATATAACACATGTACTTTGAAGATTACTAAAGAATAAATTTTGAAAAGAATATCACATAGAAAAAAGTGTGTGTGTGTGTGTGTGTGTGTGCGTGCGCGCGTGTGCGCGTGTACCATACCATTCATTTACTATCTAGGTTTGATGCTGCCAAGTTCATCAATTATATTTTGGGGAGGCAACAATTATTCTTACAGTATATTCATATTATATCAATAAATATAGATGGTAAGCAACAGTTGTTCCTTCCCAAACTGTTCAGTCTAACAGAGAAAAATTAATACCTCATAATCAAGTTGGTTTCCTGTTGTATGCATGTTCAAGAAGGCAAGCAAGATCCATAAGATATGGCCACGACTGTCCACAGTCACTCTCTGAGCCAAAAATCACAGAGATTTGAGGCATTAGGGGTTAGGAACCCTGGATAGAAAGTTGGGGAAAGTCATCTCTCTCTCCCAATCCCACCAAGTGTAATACAACAACCTCTCTATGAGTAGCGGGCCATCACCCTTGAATAAAGAAGACAGCGAGCTATGTGAAAGCAATGACCTTTAGGACACTTGCACTGACTCTTCCCTCTTCTAGAAATGCTCCACCAATAGATAGCCACATACTGTCTCACTTCCTTTCAGTCTTTGCTCCTAGGTTACCTTCCCAATGAGGCCCACCCTGATCCTGTTTAGAATGGCAACACTCTCCCCTCAACACTCCTGATTCCCTTTACCCTGACATATTGTTCTATTTTTTCATACTATTTAATTTACTTATTAGATTTAGTATTTACTGTCAATCACCCCACTCTAAAATGTAAAGTCCTTGAGGGCAGGAATTTTTGCCCATTTTGTTCCTCATTGTATCCCAAGACCCTAGAAAAGTACCTAGAACATAACAGGTGCTCAATAAATATTTGTTGAATGACAGTTCTGTAGATGATAATAACTACAAAGAAGAGACATTGTTCAAGGTAGACAGGTATGTTCCTAATAAAATATAAAATTTGCATCTTCAAATAATGGACAATTACAAAAATAAAATTCCTTTGGGAAGGAAGAAGAATAAAAAATAAATCAACTCTCTGTCTCAAATAGTATCACAATTCTCCAGGCCTTTTTCAATGGCTTTTTAAAATATCTGTCTCATTCAGATCCCTAGCATTACTGGGTTAAGGTGCTATAAGAGGATTTCACACCAAATACACTCCAAGTACAGTGTGAAATAGTTGCTCCCTTATACCCAATATTTTAAGTTTATGCAAGGATATTATTTCAGAATCTAGTGCCCGTCTCCCATTTACATTCATCTTTACCCATAGTATATCAGTTCTACCCAACCACAATTAAGGTATTACCAGAGTATTTCTACCTTGTTTGACCATATAACTGACACTGTAAAAATAGAAAAAATCAATTGTATCATAACCAACACAACTTAACACCCTTATTCATCCTTCCCTAATTTTTTACACTCTTTCCCCTTAAAGTTGGCCAATAGTTACAAATCTTTTATCTTTATTACCATGTACATTTTTGCCATGTACATATATAACTTAATAGCTAGATTGGTAATCACAAAAGTTAAGTGCATGATCATTTTTTAACAAAATATACATGTTATGAACTTCAAGACATTTCAAGACTTCTGATTTAAGATTTCTCTTGGAAAGTAATTCTGTTATCTTCACTAGAATGGATTGAATCTAGCTTGGGGGTGATGGTAAAATCAGAGTGACTTTAAAAAGTAAATCTAATTCAAGTGAGAGGAAGCATATATGCTCTTACCAAACATGGATCTAAAATCACTAGAAATGCTGAATGGTTGTTAAAACATTGAGAGCTCTCCCTTAGTACAGAGTCAGCCATGTACTTTTGAACAGAGTGTTACTAGGACAAAAGTTTAAATCTCATGCAAAAGTAATAGAATGAAGTGTGTCCTTGATGAATGGTATTTTTAAAAAGTTTTCTTTAAAAAACACTCCACTCACATAAAACCCTCCAATCCTGATTGACCGTCGTCACTGTGATTTCCTGATCTATGACTTCTTTGTCTCCAACTCCATGCTCTGATTGCAACTGTCACTGAGTCACACAGCCTGCTCTAGGCATGGGGCCAATTTGATTACAACAACTGCTTGTGTGACAGAGAAAGGTGGTTTTCAGGGCCCTAGCAAATGGCTCACCCAAGCTCCTGACTCTGGGGCATAAATTTTGACTGTCATTCACAAGATGAAAAATAAACATCTGCCTCACCTAGTAAACCAGCAACCTGGAAAATACTTATGAACACAGAGTTCTGTCACCAGGACACAGTGGGAGTGATCAGACGGATCACACTCTCGCCTCGACATAAGTAGACACGAGCACGACCACATTCCTCAAAAGCACAATTCCCGTGCACTCGATACATTTGCAGTCTGATTTTTATTTTCCAGGGTTACAATTGTAGCTGACTCATTTTTGAATCCCAGGTGCCTAGTACATGGTATATGCATATAAAATGTTTATTTAACTGAAGTGAAATGAAAATAACAAGTCACTTAGAGGAAGAAAGGTACCTACTTGTTAGCCTCATCCACCCAAAACGCTGCTAATTAAGGGGTAGGTAGTGGGAATTGAAGCACTTTTTCAATCTTTAAAACTGAACAATCTTTAAAATTGTTCAGTTTTAAATTAGTTTTTTTTTTAGTTTGATGGACACCAAGCCCTGTTTTTTAACTTGTCAAATAATAGGGTATTCTACTAATATAGTTAAGACAATAAAAATTATTTATGTAAATAAGATGTCCTAACCAGTATGACTCCTATACAGGATATCACTCTGTATTATTTTCATGTTCCCATGTTTCCCTTTCTGGTTTCCATCTAAAACATAACCTAGATCATTAAAATTTGTCAAACCCCTAGAAAGAAACAAGCCTTTTACTATAAAATATCTTTTGCATTTGACTGATAGTATATCTTTGTTTCATTTATATAGTTCACCTGAAAAACACTTATTAAACTGAGTCCAGTTAGCCATTTGTGGGAGAGAAAAATAGACTGAAATATAACCATTGTAGCTACCATATAATGAATACTTCTTGGGCTCCACTCCTATGCTAGTGCTTTACATGTATTAATCA